GCAGCGCTCGCGCGCCCGGCTCCATTGTTTTAACACCTCCCCTCTCCTCCGCGCCAATCTGTCACCGTTCAGCAGGCGAACGCTGCTGCCTCAAATGCTGCTCTTCTCAAATGAGACGGATAATTAGTTGCCCCGCACGAATGCCGCACTCTTCTCACCCCTGATTGCTATCACCTTCTTGCTCCTGGCAGTTTTGACACCTCGTAATCAGCCTGCTGCTTTTCTCTTTTCTTCCCGACTTCTGCTTCCCTCCCCCCTTCCTTCCCAGTTGATTTATTTATTATTATTATTTTAAATGCAATCCCGGTGCCTATTTGGACGCGTCCTCCCGAGTTCACCTCCGCGCACACGCGCGCCTCCCGCGTGGATGCGAAGCGCGGCGGGCGCGGGAGCGCGGGCGGCGGCGGGCTCACGGCTTCCACGCGGAATTTTCAGATATTTTGGCGAAGGGAGGAGTTGAGGAGGGGGACGGGAGGGAAGAGTTGGGGAGACCTCAATTAATGCTTTAAAGATCTCGTAGAAATTAAGCCGGGGAGTCTCGGAATCTGCTGTCAGCCGCGTGTCCCCGCTCCTCTAACGAGCACTGACAGTCTAATTACTGTAGCTACAAGCAGCTGTCGAGGCAGCAGCGGGGAGAAGGAGCCACAGGCGGGGCGCCCCGCGCGGCCCCTGCGCCCGCGAGCCGGCGCCCAGAGGAGGCCGAGGCCCAGCCCCGGCGGCCCAGGTGCCGGCGGACTGGCTTCCTGTTTCATATTTATGAAGTCTTTACCTTGAAGGTTAAAAGATGTGAAGAAGAAAGGAGGGGACTGGGGGGAGAAAATCTTCTAGGCTTCCATCCACCCTGTTCTACCTCCCCGAGCTCTCCCTCCCCCCGTGTTGGTAAAATAACCACGCAACCCGGGGCTGAGGGGGCGGGGGAGCCAGGCTGGGTGTAAGAAAGCAGATGTCCCCGCTGGCAGCAGCCTCAGCCTCCGGGGAAAGCTGCGCGGGGCGGGGGGCCCTCCCGAGGACATTCACCTCCCACTTCTCAGGCATCCCGCTCACAACTGCCTCGCCTCGGCGGGGGTGGCTTTTTCAGACTCAGCGTTTTGCGTGTGCAGCTTTTCTACCTGGGAGCTGTTCTTACCCGGCCACGCTTAGCAGATGCCAAGAGGCAGCCCCTGCACGACTCAGAAGGAGACAGAGGGTCAGACGCGGCGGTGCCCATCCGCCTTCCAGGCTGCGGCTGGCGCCACCTGTGCGGCCTCTGCTCCACGCAGTGGCCCGGCAGGGTCTCCGTCTCTCCGAAGCTGGACCTCAGGGTGCCACTAGTATCCAAGAGAACACAGTTCCCAGCTCCTACTTACAAGTGGTGGAGGTGGGAAAGAACGGACAGGAGAAAAGGGGTCAGGGGTCCACTTTCAGGGCTACTTTTCTCGGGTGGTCAGCAAATTAGATGTCAAGTGTGTGAGAGCGACTCTTGCCTTTCTATGGAAGGTGAGGGAAACTAACCCCTTGCACAAAATAGGTGCTGGGTTTATTCTGGCTGGTACACACTGGCAAGTTTCGGCTTCCATTCTGTGTGTGGGTGTGGGTGCGCGGCGAAGGAAGGCATGGGGGAAGGGAGGGGTCGTGGATAATTGTCTAGGCGTCCAGGCCCGGTGGCACTGAAAAAGATGTGCATGCCTCAGAACCCTTCACAGCGAACACCTAACAATCGCTGTGTCACCTCGGCGAGGAAGATGTCAATGCGACGCGCTTGGCACCCTGAGAAGTCAAGTGCCACCCATTCCTCCACAAGTGAAGGCTGCTCACTGTGCACTGGGGCCTATGCGAGTCCCGTCCCAGAGCCTGCGCTTCACAACACCTGCTTCACGAAACGAAGGCTCCGATTTCTGTTTGAGAGCTGCGAATCAGTGTTCATCACTGTTTAAAATGGAAGCCATGCCGCAGATCTTTGCAAAACTCAGGGTGAAACAGAAATGCAAGAGGAAGATATGTGAAAAGGGCGTTTCTTTTTAAACAAAATTTCGGCACTGATCTGTAACCTCCCTCTCTGTCTTCCAGTGGCCATCAATCAGGCTGCTAACAATGAATAACAAATTTCTCAACAAGAATGTCAATGCCCTCATCTAAATGAATAAATATGGATAGTCTTTACAGGGTTGTATATTTGCTCTCATTAAAAGCAAATGTTCCTTTAGAAAGTTTAGTTCGAGAAATGATTTTAAAATTCAAAGTGACCTACTAATTATAATAAATGTCACCGGATCTGGTCATCACTCTTCTGTTAGGTTAATGGAAAGAAAGTGAATTTTTCAAATGCCCCCAAATGTGATTTATTTATCATGAACAAAAGAACACTAACGATCACAACATTAGGAACTCTTCATATTTAATTCATTTTATCATGTAGGTATATACACAGTAAAAATTAAAACCTTATATATTATTAAAAATCCAGAAGTATTTAAATAATTATCACTGGACAACCAATGTCTTCCACTTGGTACTTAGATATTTATGTTATCTGCTATTTTCTATTATACATTTATAAAGAACTTTACCTATAGCATAAACTAATTTTTAAAATGAAAACAACAGAAACTCTGTCAACATTTGACATCATCAAATTCATTAGGTTTCATTAGAAATCCAAGCAATAAGCTTAGATATCTGAAGCAAACATGATTATACAACTCTGAGTCACACATATAATTTTGAATTATGATAATATTGTAAACAAGAATACATTGTATTACAGTTTTTTACAAAACAATCTTTTAAAGGGTAATAAAAGTTACAAAATAAGTTTAGAAAAAAATTAAATAACGACATTACTTTCTATAAATGATCTTCAAGTTACATTACAATCAAGTATTTATAGTATTAGGAACACCAAATCAGGACACAGAACTAGAGATATACGTTCTTAAATGTGCCTTACGTCTCCCCATTAAAGTGTGAATTGAGATGCCGGAGGAAATCCCCCCTGGACATAATGGATGGTGGGAAAACTGCCTGACAGAATTCACACACTCGAGGTGGATGCAGTTCTGAGTCTGTGTCACTTTGTGCCAGTAAGTCACTGTCTTGATTAGGAAAGGGGTTCCAAAGCGGCTGCAGGAAACAAACAAACAACATCTTCTGTTACTTGTGTTTCAAATCAACTCAAACTGAATTTAAAATTTAAATATTTGAATGAGTTATGTGTATTTATATATGAAGTTTCTTAATATGATGCCAAGTTACTTTTCCACAGAGTTCGAATGAGGATACGACTCAATTCTTTTTTCCATAAAGGATACAACTGAACTTCGATTAAAAGTCACTGGTGTGAGAGATGCGTATCAATGTAGGGTGCTTGCCTAGCATGCACAAGGCCCTAGGTTTCACAAGGGGAAAGGGGAAGAAAGAAAAAATAATCACTAAAAACACACCCCCCTGCGTTTTATCTTTATATATTTTAAGATTATTGTAGCTTTAGCTGCAGCAATTTTTAGTGCTCAGTTATCTCAGCGGGAGTCATTGTGGAACAACATTCAAAACTTCAGACTTTTTACTAAATTCTACCTTTTTCATTTTATAATAGACACTTTAAGTCACAGCGCCTTCTTTTAAAACATGATGCACTAGACTTGTATGTGTGCATGTACCTTAACCAAAAGTAATTTAAATCTCCCTACTACTTATAAACAAACATATAATAAATAAATCTTATATGAATCAGCATTTTGATTTTTTAAAAAGTAAATTTTTTCAACTACTAAATGGAGTCCACTGATGAGTTTGATTGTCAGGGGCTGGTTTTTGAAAACTTACATATTTAAATTAATTCAACAAAAGCTAGTATCAGACACTTCTGACTTCTACCTTTGCTCCTATTATTTAATCTATAGTTTGGCCTTCATATTCTTTCTTGTGCAGAATACAGTGAAACCTACTAATAGCTGCCCAATTAAAGAATTACAGAAAATCCTCATTTAATAGAACCACCTCCATTATAACCACCAGCAAATAAATGAAAAACTGTATTTATCTTTTAAAAAGCTTTTAGAAGAAGATATAACATTTAGTTTAATAGACAATACTTGGTAAGTAACACTGACTAGAAAATAATTTATTTTCTGAATTAAATAAACGAGGTTATTTAAAAAATTTTCTTCCTTACGTTGATATAGATAAGTTACCCTGACTTTTGATACTTTGAGGAAAATCACTTTAAAGCCAATTTAAAAATATTCCTTTATGTTCTTACACGGCTGTGTTTTAGAGTGAAACACAGCCTAGTACACAGCCTCACAATTTTCATTCTTTCTAGTTAAGCAATCACTTACAGAAACAGTGTATCACTACTTGAGCATTTGGCTTTCACAACATTATTGTCTTCTATAAACATTTTACTGGACAGGTGTGCGCAACTGGAATAAATATATAAAATCTAGGGAGCAAGATACAGTCAGTATTTAGGACTTAAATAACATGGATTCAATTCTTTTCATGAGAAGTGGCCATTTTGCCATAGAAAATGGTAATATCTAAAATAAATGTTATGAAATTTTGGGAAAAATAAACTTTTTTAGAAAAGACTTTCTTCCATAAAAGTCAAGTCATAATTCTGAGTATATAAACAAAAACCGAGGGTTAACTATGTTCAAATACTACTGTCTGGAGTTTAAGCAAAACAGTACAAATTAAAAAAAATTAATAATGTTATAAAAAGATTAAACAAAATTTTTGCTAAGATCTATAGAATTTAACTTTGAAACAGTTTAGCTTTCATATTTGGTAAGCCAAAATTCCACTGCTAACTTATCTTCAAAGTTCTTCTCCATTAGAAGCAATTAATTCACATTTGATTTCTTCATGGAATTTAGTTATATCTTAATAGCTGATTCAGCAAAAGTAAGAAACAAAATCAAATAAAACAAAAATAAGCTGACACATTTTGCTATAATAATTGAATGTATAAAATAGGTGCTTAGTAGTAACGAATAATATAATTTTTAATATGCAATCAAAATTGTACTTCTCTGTTACTATGAACTCAAGAATTTTGTATTTACTATATGACCTTTATTAACACTAATAAAATAATGTTTCTAGAAACATTTTATGAAAAATTCTTTCAATTGTAAAGTAACATGGCCTTCACATCAAACTAATTTCTTTGCTTTTTCTGCCAAGATATCAATTATCTAACCTTATGCCCCATGTCGTGTGACAGCTCAACACCAATTCTCCTGCATTTTTTAAGCTGAATACTTTTCCATCAAGTTGTAATCACATACCAGCTGTTTCTCTTGCTGGAGTACAGAAAGCAAATGCACAATGCAGGGTGCCATCTACTGAAACATGAATGCACAGACTAACTAGTAAAAGAACAGGCAAGAAATATGGAGAAAAAAAGTAACAAGCATTAGAACTGATACAGTTCACAGCTCCACAGGAATTATACTTGCACTAAATGAAATTGTGTAATTTGTTTCATTTAGTAACAACTACAACTGGGACTATGATGTGCAATAGGGTACAATGTAGAACTTAAGTGAGTTTATAATTAAGGCTTGTTAACAGCAATACCTAGTTTTTCCCAATATTAAAATATAATGCAGCTTGACTATAGCCTTCTTTACATGCTGATTAAAGTCTGTAATAGTACTTATACTCAAAGGATATTAATCAAAAATTTTTTAAAGTATCTCAAAATAAAGAGAAAAAAGTTTGCAAGTTATATATGTACGTCAATTTATATTTGCACAAAATTCTATTTATTGTAATAATTATTTCTCACTTGCCTTCAGGCATTAAAGCTTTTTTTTTTTTTTAAACAAGAATCAGTCTACGAAAGAACCTGAATCTTAAAGGGAGGGAGAGTGGGAGTGGATTGGTGGGTTACAAGTAGCTTTCAATGCCACGTTTAATGAGACTACTTATAAATATATTAGGCTACATGTTCAGTGCAGATTAGCACCCCAAACTAACACCCTACAGATCCACTTATCATATAACTAAAGTATAATATAAGTATTAATTAAAAGCCAATTCACCTATTCTGAGAACTAGGATATATGATGAATTAATTATGGGAAATTGTGTTCATGTGACAACGTGATATATACACATGTATATATCCTTTTAAAAAACACCGTTTCACATTTTGAAATTTAATAAAGAAACTGGTTATAATACTGATGCTGAGTAAACAAGCTTTTAACAGAGACCAAGAAAGTGATGCCATGCTAGATAAAGATAAGGTTGTGTATTTAAAACTCTGCCATAAATTTTATAAGCTTTATCATATTCAGATTTGTAAATTCTGTGTCCTTTACTATAGCACTGGGAACATTTTTACTGAAAGCCTTAACTGGCTAATCATTAATGTGAAAAGGATATCGATAACCTAAAGAGATGCATTTATGGCAAAATGTGTGTTCACACATAACGAAGTATTTGTTAATGTAAAACAGTTACCTGCTGTGGTCCTCGGATGGCTTTTCCTGGGGAATCCAGTGAAGGAAAAGGTGCATCAGATGGGTCCTGAAGTGGGAACGTATTTACATATAATGCATTATGGTCTCCAGGTGGCAAACATAAAGCTCTATCCAGAGTTGTCCTGATGCAACTGTTTAAAAGATCTGAGGGTTTTGATTTGTCAGTTGTTTTAAGGTTCTGTATAGCTGAAGCTATGGGATCAAGTCCCTGAATTTCAAATAAAGTTTCTTCTGTTTTAACAATGTTTCCTCGGTTATCTCTGAGCTCCACATTAAATTTGTCCGGGCACACTGCCTCAGATGCAGCAAGGCCAAGAATGTTGGGTCTCTCCGCGGTGCTATGTAAGAAAGTAGAGTCACTGTCCATAGGTGGAAACTTGACATTGAATTTAGAAAGGGATTCAAAAGAGGTGTCTTCCTCATCTCGACCCAGTCCTCTTGGTGTGACAGATGTAATACATGATGCACCTCTATTTATATCATCTTTAGCCTGAGGCTTAAACAGCGCTTCTTGTTTATCTGTTTTATCTGTACACTGTATAGGCACAGAGCACTGTGTTTCTGCAGGAAAAAGAACACAAAAGGGAGATAATCATAATGCAAATCATTCTTTAAGATCTGTTCAGTCAGCTTTGGGCAGTAGAGTACTATCTTTTCTATTGGTTTTTATGGAAACCGAAGACAATTGGGATTTTTACATTTGAATCTTAGCAGTCTTCAGCAGGTGAACGGGAACACAGCTTATTAGTCGAAGTTTAACTACTTTGTCTTTTCCTTGGTCTTTTGCTTTAAGCGCTGTATACTGTTCACAGTTACACTACTCCACACTTAAAAAAATTGCTTGTAGTGTATACATTTAAACATTTTGTCAGTAATGGAAGCTGTAACTGTGAGCTTGCTTAGATAAGTAAGTTGTTAAAAGGGAAAATTCTTGTTATATATACATATATATATGTCATTTATGATTTACTATATGAATTAATATCAATGTGTAACTAAGTGTACCACTAATCAGTTTAGCCACTATCTCAACATGTGAGAGTGGTGATGCACGTTGGGAAGAAGGAAAATAATGGAGGCAAAGGAAGGATGAAATGTTATTGAATATATGGTCTGAATATATGGTTTTCTTATATTTAAAAAAAGGCCTCCGAGGCTGAGATGTAGCACAGTGGTAGAACATTTATTTGCCTAGCAGGCACATGGCCTGGGTTTAATCTCTAAGTAAAGACAAAACAAAAACAAACCTCTGTACACAACAGGTATTTTATCAAGCAAGTACAGTGACCTCTGTAGCACATTTATTCAGAAGCTACTTATCCCAAAACTCAGCTCTACGACATAGTCAAAAGCTAGGAAGGAAGCATAACTTTTGTGGAGTTAGAAATAGAGCCAAAAGGTCTACAGGCACATGAATTTTGCTCCTATTCTCATTTTAGACCTCTTCTAACAAGCTTGAGGAATCCCTAGCTCACAGCTTACTTGAAAGAGCAAATTAAAAACAGGATATGAGTTGTTAAAGGTAGGTAAGAAATCCAGAGCTGAAAGCATGGGGTAAGGCAATAAAAACAAATATGCAGAAATAAGAACTCAGAAAACACTGCAGTCTAACGTGTGGGCAATGGGAGCTATATTTTGCAGTAAACAACAAAAAAAATCTCTATGTTGATGATCCTGAGATAATAGAAAAAGCACAATTCTGCTCCACAGTGTCAATTCAAGAAGGTAATGAAGTTGGTAACATATTTTTATTCAATAGTTTGCAAAAACATTAAAATTAGCATTTTAAATTGATTGTCATTATTAAATTGATATATTCACAAATTGGAGACTTCACCAAGGATGCAGGCCGAAGTAGGGCAGACAGAACACCCTACAGCGTCTGTCCACATCAGCAAGCACCTAACACACGTCAGTTCCTCCGATCTTTGGCGTCTCATGACAGCTTTTTCTCTTTCGTTACCACATATTTCTAACATAAAATATCTTCTTTACAGTGTGTGGTACAATGAAACTAACTTCTTTAGTTAACCCTATTATATATCTACTGTCTCTCTTTAGTTCACACCATCCCCTCTCACTGGATTATTACAACAGCCTTTGAACTGCTTCCATGCCTCTAAAGTTGTCTCATATCCAATCTGTTCTCGACGTTGCAACTTTCCCTCCTACCCTTCCTTCTCAGAGCAGTTTTTCTAAAGTACAAATCTGGTCATGTTACTTCCTTAATAAAAGCTTGTCACAGCTCTCCAAAGTCTTGTGGCCCTCACACAAGGCAAAGAAACTATTCATAACTGGTCCCTAGGCACCTTTCCCCACTCACCTTTCAGCATCCCGGTTTCACTTCTTACTCCGGCTATAATGAACTTTGCATATTTTCCCAAATAACCATGTGCTTGTCTCTGGACCTTTGTACATGTACTGCCTAACTCCTTTCCATTTCTCTTTACATAATTCTTATTTGTCTCTCAGATCCTGATTTAGACATTAGTTTCTCTGGATCCCTCTCCTAGGACCATTAGGTAACCTGAAGGTTGAACAATCGGTGTCATACTTTCAAGTATACCTCTCTTCCTCCCATTAAAGTAGGGTTTTTGATGTCTTAAACTATGTTCTGTTCACCACTTACTCAAGTATCCTGTCCAGTGCCTGGCACATAGTATGGCCTTAATAAATGAACTCTGAATGAATCTAGGTTCTTTTCTTCACAGAGCCTAGGATAATAACCTGTATTTATTAGATACCCTGTCTATGACTAGGAATAGTACAGTAACTGAGATTAAGCTCAATTGTTTAGCTGAATTTCTTTGACCTTTGAGGTTCTTAAAGTCCATTAGCTTTCAAGTAGTCATTTTTCTTGGCAGTAGACTTGAAGGTGGCAAGACATTGTAGGAAAGAGTAATCAAAATGTGTAACATGTGAGAAGGAGGAAAGCTTATCAAATGATCTTTACAAGAACAGGGTGAATGCTTTAGAATCTGGTGCTGCTGCTAATGGCAACAACTATTAACATTAATAGCACTCCCATGCACTGTTATAATTGTTATATGAGCATGAATTCATTCAGTATTCAGAATAATCCCAAGACAGACACTATTATCCCGAGTTAGTCACTATTACCCCCAATTTCTGCATGAAGAAACTGAGACATGGAGAGGTTAATTCCAAGCTACACAGCTAGTGAGTGGTAGATCTGGCACTGGAACCCAGGAAGTCTAGCTCTAGAGTCTGTGCTCAGAACCATTATGCTAAATTGAACATGTTGGTTTCTATATATAGAGAGGAGTCCTCAAATTGACAGAAATGTGCTTGGAATTACTTTCCTAGCAGTTGACCTATCCCCCTTGCAAAGAAAACATGGAGAAATCACACAGCTGTAATAAAGCAGTTATTTTCTTTCAGTATAGCTAGCTGGCATACAACCTCCACCACATTAAAATAATTTGAGCTAATATGCTCATATGGTGATAGTAAATATCTATTAAAAGAAGATTTGCACCTAAGATTCCTAAAATTACTAAAAATTTAAGATTAGAAAATGTAAAATTCCAACAAAGTGCATGAAAATACTTGTCGTCCTGACACCATACTGAGAAAAAAGATTAGGTGAGCAAATAGCTCTACATTTGTATGTTTCAAGAATATTTATTTTTGCAAGGAAAACAAAGCAGATGAGAAACAATTTTAGATTTCCAAATTTTAAGTACAGGCTATCCATTTAGACTATTTCTCAGTTTTGTTTCCGCGATTATTGACAACAGAAAAGGACTTGATGGTTGCTTGCAATCCTTAACCCTTTATTGTCTCTTCATCGCCAATGAAACGAGACCTTTCTTTTGGATCAAACAGTGCTTTTCTCCTGGAGACATATTTGCTTAAACATACATTTCTATCCTTATCGCTTTCTCAAGGTTATTGCCATATGTGGATAAGTAGAAAAAAATAATAAAAGGAAATGTATGATTTTACTAACTCAGCATTTTAAAATTAATTATATTTGGTCTTTAAAAGTCAAATTTTAATTACAAAACAGGAACAATAACTGTTATACTTTTTCTATATATATTATACATATAATATGTAAAATAGTTTCTCTATATTTTTATTCAATGTAGCATACATACTTGGGAACCCTGAATAGGCACCTTTTTCAAAAATATTTTTTTTCTTTCTTTTCCTTTTTGATCTGCTACTGTCAGGGCCTAGTACTTGGTATTTTGGTCTCTGTGTGGATAGAGCAAAACTTCACTGAAATCTGTAGGACAGCAGATCCACAGTATTTCATGAATAATGCTGTATTTATTATTTGTGACACAGTTCATATAAAGCATAAGAATAATGTTAAGAAGCAGTTTCAGTGAGGAAGAAATTGAAGTTAAACACTCAAGTGTTCCAGTTGACAGATAAATATTCCAATTCAGACCTGTGTAATTTAAAAATGGTCAAAGTATTAAGCCATTGATAATGGGATGTTCTCTGTGTAACAAAGGATGAATCACCATTACAATGTTTTGATAAGACGTTGATGTTCAAAAAGCATGCTTATGAATTCTAGGCTACCACTAGCATATTTTAAATAAAAATAATGTTTACTTCAGACATAGCTAGTATCTTTACTGTGTAAAAATGTTCTATTTTTCATAACAATGACAAAAATTTAGACGGAGAAATTAAGAGGTCTTTTGGGGAAAAGTAGAGGAATGCAAAGGGAAGGAACAAATTATGCCTGTCTACAAAGATTGTTTTGTTTCTTCCTTTCCTCATTTCACAGCTTCACCAAAAACAAGGTGGTAGTTGCAAAAAGTGAATTTACCCTCTACAATGATTTCTAAATAGCTCAGATGTAAGAGCTGTAAGAAATGAAAAGTAATGTTTAAATAAAAGGGTGCTAGTCATCGCTGCTGCAGTCTCTCTCAAGAGTGAAAGCTGTAAATCACATCACTTGGGAATTATCTGCATATTACCTCCAATCACAGGATAAAGGAGCATTTATCAACAGAAATGATCAATTTACTTTCTTTTTGTCTTTGGATGTGCATGGCTAACAGACTTAACCCCTGGTATTTTGCTATTAATATGTAACAATTGTAGCGAACACCAGGAAGCCTGCCTGAGACTTTAGGAATGGGTAGAGCTTTTGAAAAACATATTGCAACACATGTGAAATAGACAGTCCTTCTAAGTTATATTTTATTCAAGTTTGTATTTCCTGAGTACCAGTTCTGTTGGTTTTGTGCTCCAACAGAACTGGTACTCAGGAAATGTGCATGTTACATTTTTTTATTTTTGAAACAATTATCAGAAACTATAACATTCAATGAAATTTAGGTGGTAAAAGCAAACCTGACATTTCAATTTTAGTTAATTCACATGTAAGTGTTGCTTCAAGGTTACTTAGTAACACATGATTTAATATTTAATATGACCCCCCAAAAGCAACCTAAAAGTCTGGGAGATATATCCTATACTTATTTTGTAGTTTTTCAAGATGGGACTTCCCATTAGGTTGAATGGTAATTCAGTTATTCAGTTCAGTCAATACGCATACCATCACATATATGCAAACAGAAAAAAACAGGAATTACATAATGTAATACCCTACAGAACTTAAAACAACACATACTACTCAAATATGAGTGAGTGAGGGCCATGATGCACATATTTAATGCTATTTATAAGCATTTAGAAATATTTTTATGCTCAAACAAGTCAATTTCAACAAATAAAATAACTAAGTTAAATAAAATCTTACCAATTGTAATGTCTGGTATATTAAGTTTGCTTAAGTAGTCCTTTTGTGCTTTTGCTAGCATACATATTCTATGAAATTCTTCTTTCAGAGCCCAGAAAGTCTTCTCTAAATTATCCCTAAAAAACAACAACAAAAACATCAGTATTTTAAAATATAAGCTGTAACCAAGCATTAATCAGGCTAACTTAGTAGGAAATGTCTCCCAATAACTCTTAATGTTTGGACAGCCAGGCACAGGGTAAGTGATAAATTAAAAGTTCTAATACATAAATGTAGTACAGACATGTATATCCACTTATCACAGTGAGGCTAGCTATTCACATATCACAGTGATGCTAGCTGTCTTATTCTCACATTAAAAACATCAATGTATTGATGTTTGTTCTCTAAAAACATAAATAGAATATTAAGTACTGATTATGGTAAGGTTCACATTATGATTTACCAAAAAAATAATATGGCCTGTCATACGTTGTCTATTAAAATAACCAAGATTTTCAAAATTCAGCTTTTAGATCCAGCTCTGCTATATTGTAATCATATAATTATTTAGGTCATTTTAATATATAGGAGCTTTGGTTTGGTCTCTTCCAGTTCTAAAAGAGGCAGATCTTTTACAATTCCTAAAATTGAAAAATATGTAAATATAAAATACTGTATATTTAATATTTGTAATCTAAGAGTCAGAAAAACAAAACAAAATGAAGGATATAAAACTACCTTTCATGGGTTAAAGGAATGGCAGGACTCCTTGATGAAGTTTCTTTTCTAGGGGAAGAAACATCTTGTCTTCTGACCTTAAAGATACAAAAGTGACTACACTTTAAGTTGCTTCCAAACTCAAATGAGACTGGATTAACTGAAGCAATGGAAAACCTGCCTTCTTTATTGAAAAACTGAGTCAGTACAATAGACTATAATGTACAATGTTTTTAAAAAAATGAGGTGATGGTAAAAGCAAAATGAAAATAGGAAGTATGAAAGTATGAAGTATTTTTGCTAAATTTTTCCAACTACTATCTCCAGTACTGATATCTGAGGAATTTCTCAAATTCAAAATTTGACCAAAATTGTTACTAAGTACTTCAGATGATCAGAAACTCAGGCAAAAAACTGTGCAAGATCTTTTAATATTCACTAATAATGATCTTTATATTTACATCAATTATCTTTATTTCTTCTTATAGATTCTTTTCTACAGAATGCTGCTGTAATAAAGGAGAGAAAATCAAGTTACATTTCCTTATTATTATTTAACAAGTAGTTAAATGTCTATAAAGATAATGCAATTATGTATTTAAACTGCTTCAACACAAGTTCTTGCCTTTCACTCCCACCCTGTGGCCCACACTGGTATTACATGTATTCTGATATGTAAAAACAACATTAAAGAACGCATTGTAATAATCTATTATAAGATTCTGATTAAAAAAAATTTTACTTATATCTAGAAAGCTTTGTGTAGTTTCTGAAGCTATACACTGGCAAGTTCTGAGATCTGAAATCCCAATATAATCTGAATTAATCATAAATTGTAATTCAGAGTCTATCTCTTTAGTTTTGCTTTTTAAATTCTTAGGAATATTATTTGTTCTTTAAAACAAAGAATTTTAGTTTGTTTTTCTTAAAATTAACATATTCTTCAGCTTATTTAATTTACTGCTCTAATTTCTATCGTTTCTACATAAACAGTCTAAATATTCAGAGTATTATTTGTAGTGGGTAAGAGTCAGAAAAATAAAATCTTGGCAATTCAAACAATCTGGAATTTTATGTATCACGAGCTTGATGCAAATAAGACCATTTTGCTGCGGCATACTGTTTGTCTGACAGACATTTAGGCTATGTCTTCTGGATTAAAAGTGCCTATTGAACTTTGCAAGGCAATCACAGCAGAAGACATTTACAGTTTGCTGAGGTTTTTCCTTGATGTTCTGCACAATCGGTAGTCTCAATGCATTTTAGTGTATATAAGGAAGAAAGGTAACATTTTAAAGTTAGCCAGCCATTTAAGACACTACAACGAAACAAACTTGTAGAAAGATTATTATTATCAAATCTATATCAACAAAATCAGAGAAATACATTAAGACAAAAGCATCTGGCAATTTAATGATAAATTATAAAATACATGATTACATTAAATAGAATGACTTCCTTTTAAAAATTGCTACTAAAGGTTCTCAATATATCATTTTTTAGGAGCTTGAAGGAACCAAAAAGTATAATTGTGGTCTAAAACTGAAAATAGGTTACGGAAAATGGTAAAGACAATATTGTAGTTTCTGAAGTTATGATTTTGACATAAACTAGGAATAACTGCTTCTGAGGTGAAAGAACCATTTAAAACTAATGTGAATGAAGAGGTGAAGGAAAAGATAGGAAAGAGTGATAAGCTTTTGTTTATCTTAGAAAATAACTGGTGACAATTTTTGTGGTATTTAGATTTGATAACTAGTGTGGGTGGATGTGTTTCAAAGATTATTTGGGTAGACTGGCAGGAGGTAAAGACTCATTAAGGAATTTCTATAAAGTATCTAAGATCTTCATTTTTTTGGAGTAAAGACTACAGCTCTGCTTATGCCAATTTTGACTCTTATTAAGAAAAGTATTACTGGATATATTAAGCAATATACTATACCTTCTATCATTTATACCAGGTAAATCTGTTAACATATCTGAAATGAAAATTCTGAGCCTCAGTGACCAAGTAAAAATTTCTAAAAGAAATGTCTTAACATGTTAGCAGGGAAAAAAAAAGGTAAGTAGCTTTCTGACAGATGTTCTGAACTAGGGTTTAGTTAGTATGAGTACTGCATGTTAAGTATGATTTTTGATTGGCAGGATTTACTGAAGACAATCATTTATTTTTCAAAGGACTTAGGATTAATATAGTCAATAGTAATGGCAACACTTTCACCAGAAATTCAGACTTTCTTTTCAATGCCAAATTATCTTACTTAATGAAGATTATATAGTTTGTTGAGCACCCTAGAAAGTAAATAAGCATTGGAGATCACTAACTGTATTTTTCTTTTGAGTCTCAAATATCGTCCAAATGGATCTTGTACTTCAGGAAGATGAAGTTAATGTAATTTCGAATAAAAAAGAAAGAGAATCAACATTCTAGATTTTAAACACTCAACAAATGAATTTATTTTGAGGTACTAAGGCTTAAAATACTTAACATCATAAATTGTTCCAAGTACTAGTTTGGAAGTGTGGAACTTGTGGACTGAATGCTGAAATAAGTTTTATATGTTATATACTCTTCCAATATGGCTCTGGGTAAGTCATTCAACCAAATCCATTAAAATAAGCCCATCTGAAACAGTTGGAAGATATTGTGAAATGTTTCCATAAATTTCCTCCTATGTGAACTGGTACAATTTTAATTTAGCATAGATTCAGCTTCTCATAAATGGGTATTAAATAAAAATATGTACGTTCAGGGCCAGTTGAATATGCAATGATATTTAAGGAGAAAAGCTGCTAATATCTCATTAGATCAGAACCAGGTTTATTTTTAATGCAAAAATATTGGGAAAGTGGGCTGGAGATGCAGTTTAGTGGTAGGGTGCATACCTAGCATGCATAAGGCCCTTGGTTTGATCCTTAGCAACAAACATATACAGGCACACACACACACACACACACACACCAACAAAAGAAAAAAAAATTTAAAAAAGTTTTTGTGTTGCTTTCCAGGATGTGGTAGCAATCAACCTTTGAAAGAAAGAAATGTATATTTAACACTTGTGTTTGTTGCAATTGGTACTAAAAGTAGAAGTATTTTATTCCTTCTATAAAATAATTTGGAAAAACAATGAAAAGTTTTCATTTGCAATACATTTCTCTTACAAATTTTAACAATCAATTATCAGTAAAATTAGACTGATTTATGGAACTTTAAAGATGATAGTGACTTAACTTGTTAATATAATGTAGATTCTCTCATATATACAGAAATGAAACTTTTTTATTTATTTTTGCATTGCTGGGAATGGAAATTGGGGCCCAGGCAAGTGCTCTATCACTGAACTATATCTCAGCCCTAAAAGGCCATTTTAAATAAAAGAACTAAGTTCTCAATGACACATATTTGAACTGTAGCAGGAATATCTATCATACCAAAGACTCCCCAAAATCGGATTTGAGATTCTCAAGTGCAAATGGAATTTTTAAGTGGCTTAGTCAACTATGTGTAGTCAACTATGTGTAAATACATTATTTAGTTTCTAGGTGAAGCTCAACAGAATTATACCTTCAAAACAGAAAAGAAAATATGCTCCTATTTTCAACAATGTAAACCAAGAAATAAACCAAGGTAAGATGTGATGGACTGGTAAAAAGAATATAAACCATGGATAGCTTTAAAAAAGTTTGATAGAATTCATTACAGAAAAAGGAGTAGAAAAAGAGACTGAAAATAAAGATTCACTTATTATCTAGATTTTGAAACTTAAGAATGAAACAGCAAAGGATACACTGAGGTTGAATGTTTTCTTGTCAGTTTTAGATATACTGAGACAAAAGATGTTACGGAGGTAAAGCACTGGATTTGGTTGAATTAAGGAGAAAGTGAAAAAAAGATGATTAGGGTAAAAAAAAAAAGGGGGACCAGAAAAAAAATCTACAAAAAGAAATCTGGTGAGAATAAATATAAAAGTATAGTAAAGTAAGTCTGAAGGCAAAAGAAAAAAAAAGTGTATTTAATCTGTAAGAATTTATGGACATGTGAAATCTGTTTCTTTCACCCTCATTAACATTCCTGAAAATCTAGCAAAGCAATGGGAGCAAAATCCTAGGAGACTTGTCTGTTCTGCGTGATGTGTGCTAGGCAAACCCACTGCCAGCATGGGAACAACTCCAGGGCAAAATGGGAACCATCCCAGAGTGCGGAAGGAAGTGGCAAGAAAATAAACAATATAAAAATAAAATTAAACACCCCAATTACTTCCAAGTTCTTTACAGGGTTCTGGTTTAATGTGAAGCCCCCCAAATCTATGGATTCAACACTACCATAGGCACACACACACACACACACACACACACACACACACACATATATATATATATATTTTTTGTCTTTTTGAGACAGTGTCTTGCTATGCAGTTCAGGCTGGCCTTGCGCTCACTTTGTAGCACAGGCTGGTCTTGAACTTGCAATGATCCTCCTGCCTCAGCCTCCCGAGTGCTGGGATTACAGCCATGTGCCACCATGCCCTGCTGGCATATATATTCTTGAACAATACTTTTCTATTATCTGTCTTTTAAGTCTTTCACTTTGTACTAGGAACCTTCTGTGTATATCTTCTGAATTTACTTTATTTCTCTTTTTGAGACTATACGTTTCTCATTTTTCTTTTATTTTGGTCTTTTTGAGACAGGATCTCATTATGTAGTTCAGGCTGGCCTTGAGCTATGTGGCTCAGGCTGGTCTCGAACTTGCAAGGATTCTCCTATCTCAGCCTCCTGAGTGCTGGGATTACAGGCATGTGCCACCATGTTTGGCCAAGATTACATCTTTCTATGTAGTTCAGGATAGGCTTGAACACACTATACATAGCCCAGGCTGGCCTCAAATTCACAGTAATCCTCTTGCCTCAGCCTCCCAAGTGCTGGGATTACAGGCATGCACCACCACATTTGGGCTGAATTTATTTCCTTAAGGGGTAAAAGTACTTAACTTTGAGGATACCTTCTTATGAAAAAGAGAACTGTATAACTTAGATGAGCAAGTTTTCTTATACTCCTTATCCCCAAACTCCTTTTCTTTAACCATCAATTAGTGTTA